TATTATTTCTTTCATTATTATTTCATTTTAGATTGCTACTGTAAGGCTCTTTTTGCTTGTTATTATAAATTTCATTGAATGACAGATCAATAAATCTAGCGTAGATTTATTGATATTCTGTCGTCGATGTTGGCTTATTGTTAAGAATTGTTTAAGCAATAGAGGCAAATCATTTCATTTTGGTTACTAGCCAAAATAAATCCTAAGTTATAGGAGTTGTACTGTACTGTATATGGTTTTCTCTGTCAGAACTGACTAAACTGAGTGATTCAAAACTACTCTGAGAAATATTCAGAAGAAAATCGCAAGGAGTGAACATACAGTATCAGTGACATTGTAAAGCTACATACAGAAATGTACAAAACACACCATAGATGAACACAAGAAATCTTGTAAACCAGATGGTCATCTTATTCTTACCATACAAAGAGGTCTGCACTTTTCGTATGGCAGAATTTCTAAGCACCATGAACTGTCAGGAGCATCACCCAAATAGTAAGAAGAGAAAAGTGAAGAGATCTCTGTCTTCTGGAAGACAATGACTTCCAGTTTGTCTGAAATAAAACAAGCCCACAACACTGACAGTACATTACACTATGCAGGAAAGCTTTTTTATATAAATGCATCTTCTTCTTTTTTTATTGGTCATGAAATGACTGGTTGGTATCAGACGATAAGTACCATTACCTGACAAAAATAACAAGATACAGTATGTCATGTTTGACAGAGGAGGATTCTTCCCCGGATACTTCTGCAATAAGCATTTCTTTGTGCTCTGTGCAGGTTTCACCTTGAACTTAAATTGATGCTGCGTTAACTGAAAGTGAGTATCAAGTCAAAAGCACAAGGTAATACTGGGCCTTTAACTCCCTTCACAGGTCAGGAACCTGCCAGATGTTTCTAACAACCTGCCACCAAGGGATACAGTTAAGTCTCTACTGTACAGTATGCTCAATTCACAAGAGATGGGTCACCATTTTTAGGAAATATGGTTCTCTAGAGATCTGACCAACTATCCTTGTTTAATTTGGGCTGTGGAGTTAATTTTATACTGTACATGCAGACTCCAGTGTAGCATGGAGAACACTCTGCTGGAAGATGTGGTAGTACAGTATCTCTCTATCGGTAACGTACTGTAGGTCATAACCCTACAAAGTTATGACAGAGAAAATGAGTATTATATTCTAATATTACTGATCATCCTGAATATACTGTATTTTAAAAAGTACTCATTTTTTTCTCACCTAGATGCAAATACTAGACATGTATAATTACAGCATTCACACTACTCATGATCAAGCTGTACTACAGGTATATGTCCTGCCAAAGTAAAAAGTAAAAAGCAAAATTGCCAAAGTAAAAAGAATTATACAAATTACACTTTTAGGCTGGGACCATCCATTGTTAAAAGCTAGTGTATTATTTGTCACTGTCAGTAAACCTTTGACAATGATTGATCCCTTACGACCATTTTGTAACAGATAGGTTATTTGAGTCATGCAAGTTTTAGTTTTCTTGTGAGTAACATTATAATATTCATGCTCTTTATCATCACAAAGTGGTTCACAGGGTCTTTGGACATTTTTAAAATTACAAATGGCTTGTATAAATTAATGCCGTATATTGAACTCTTTCTTTGAATTTTCCAGAAAAAGCATCCATTATGTTACTTTGACTCATAAAATAATCAATCTCTTTTCAGGTAAGTGGAAAGTGGAATTTTAGCTTCTGTGTACTGTATGTGTCATTATACAGTAGATTCAGAAGGTTGAGCATCCATGCAAACCAAATAAGACACTTCGACAATTCAAAAATCTCAAGGTTACAAACGTTGGTTCATTCCTCTTTCAAGAAAAAACTCATTTTAGAGTTTAAATTATTCACCCATACATTTTTAAACTGCTTAATCCAATACTGGGTTACAGGGAAGCCTATCCCAGCCAACAAGGCAGGATACAGCCTGGGCTGCACACCAATCCAATGAAGGGACACGGAGACACAGACATGCACACACTCCCAGAAGCCAATTAACCTTTCAGTATATTTCTGGATTTTGGGAGGAAATGTTTGAACCATTTTAATTCAAATTTTAAATTAAACTAGAGGACTAAAAATTTAACCTGACAAATCTTATCAGAAACTGTCCTTAAATATACATAAAGTCATTTTCTTCAAGGAATCTAACACAATGCAAGAAAACTGTAAGCAAAAGGCAAGACTTTTACATTTCATGCCTGTAGTTCACAGCGTAGTCCAACCTGGATTGATTAGAGGCCTGCCTTGACCCTGAATTCAATGGATAAATAGACAAAAAATGTCCCCATGTTGATATTGTTAGTTTCTACATAATGGAACAATATTGTTACAATGATATAGTGGTTATAGCAGACTACTTCTGAAGTCATCATATTCATGTGGAGAAATAGTAGGTATCCCAATAAGTGGTTAGATCCTTGTTTCTTGTGACATTTGGGGTATGGGACATTTCCTTTTCCAGATTTAAAAGTCAATGAGCCCTGGCCTGGTACTCTCACCATACTGAATGACATTACATGCTAAGGTAAATCTACATGACTATCACTGACATAAAGGGAGGGAAAGGAAAAGTGATCCCCCAGCTACTCCTCCCATAACAGAGTTTTCTTGCTCTGTTATAGTTTTTCCTTCTCTTAATATTTTTTGTATTCTATCATCAATGAGAATAGGATTATTGATCTGGTCCGTAATCGTAAATCGGCTTCCCTTTGGCCACAGAAATAGCACATTGTTATGTCTTCTGTTTTTCTTCTGCCTGTTGTGTTTCATACCCATGTTTCTGTCTCTGGAAGAAGAGGGATTAATGGGAAAAGCATCAGAACCTGAAGGGCATAAAATAAGAATTGGACACACTAGCTTCCGTTATGATGAAGGCCTTTGTGGGGGATGAATGTTGCTGTTAATCATTGTCAGAAACAGCATCCTTATTTTTTTGTATCAGTTCTGGGATATGAAGCATTACATAAACATATGTGATACGTTATCTGGACTCCTACTTTAATACCAAACTGGACAGTCTTTCTTACTTAAATAAAATCAGAGTTAATTCACACAAGACCTACAGACTTCTGCCCAAGTCTACCCCCCTCCAAGCCTGTCAACAGGTGTTGATGGCCACTGTTTGTCCACACAGGACACATTTACAATTTCTATTCTGCTACAGAAGCTTCTTAACCACAGACGACAGAAAACATTATCTAATAACAGAGAATCCCCAGAATAGACACTGAGCATTATGTGCTTTTGAAGATCTGACAGATCTCTTCAGACATTCATTGACTTTTTCCCCCTCCACTCCAGTTTGCCTATGAATCTGGCTACAAGCTGAGGTACTTGCCATTTAGTCTTTGAAAGAGTAAATTAAAATGGTCCTATTATTCCCCAGCCCCAGGAGTAATGTTGATGAATTACAGTACCTTGTAAAGAATACAACAATAAAATAATGTAAATATAATTCTTGTAATTGACCAGAATGGATCTCTGTTCTGCTTCCTTTATAAACATGATTCATATTAACTACTTCTCTTAGACTTTACAAAGGGCCATTATATGGTTGTTTTATCTTTCTTTAATTGGGCAAAAATATTACAACTGCACTGCTAAATTCCGTTAAGCAGGTAAATAAAGAAAACATTTCACTTCCTTATAGATTTTCATTGTAAAATATGGCCGAGAAGGATTGTATTTATCCAAATAAGGATTTATACAGGGTTTATACTTCCAGGGTGACTGCACCTGGCTGACCATGGAAGAGTGCCAGTGAAGATACAGTACTATTCTCAGAACAGAATCTCCCCACAAATCCAACCAAATGTTTTACATCTGTCATTTATTCTACATCATCATGAAGTGAATCAGTCCACTTCAGGTCTCGTTCGGCTTGCTGGAGGAAAAACAAATGTTGCTTCTGTAACTAATGTTTCTGTAATGCTTTAATACCCTGATAGCGCTTGCCTTACCCATTGCTGAACACCCCCCCCCCGTAGTTATTGCAAAAACTGTGAACAGCAAAAAATGTGGAACATCAACAACAGAAACTGGTCCAGTAGAAATTGGGTCAACATACAAAAGATTAAGCCAATAAATAAATGCTAGAATATACTATAAATACCCAAAGGCAAGACAATAGCAGTCCACATCAGAGAAACCACCCTAACTAGACAAGATGGGCCTATTTCCAGGAGCTGCTTATTGAAGGCTTTAGCAGACAACTGTCTTTTTGTCTAGTGCTCGGTTATTGCCAGCACATCTGCAAGCCTTCCATTAATGGGACTGCCAGGCTAAACTAGTACAAATGACACAAGGCTTCAGGTAAACAGAATATTATGTTATCGTCACAACATCTGCATAATCTCAGACAGAGAGAAAAGCACACAAAAGGACCTCCATACCTTCAGTGAAACATTTTAGATTAGATTTTAACAAACAGTAAGCCTTACACATTAATAATGCAGACTAAAGACTTACAAAGCATGATTTCAATTATTGTCATAAAAAGTATTCAGAATTTTTTCTGCCGAAAGTATCATGAAAACATTGAAAGCAGTTTTAATGTTCCTGAAGCACAATTTATTTTAATCCATTCTGAGAAAACGGCAACTGTGGTGTACTTCACAGTATTTTTGATTATATATGAAATTTAAATAACCTGATTCAAGGGCCATGTCTAATGTCTGCTCCACACATTCAAGTGCTACTTGAACTTTGATGATAACATTCCTATCATGGATTTATTAAGACAGAAAGAGCAATTACCTTTTACACACGTAAGATACAGAAATAGGCTTTAATTAAAACGTTTTTATTCAAGTGGAAGAAAGTGATAAATATTTTTAATCTCCAAGTAGATGTACAAATTCAAATGATTCATTGCTCTATAGTTTCTTTTAAGGATTTTTTTGGGTTTTGAAAGTCAAGTGCTGTTAATGCTAAACATAAATAATAATTATCTTCTTGTCCTACAGGGGAATTAACAGAGGAATGTGCATGTACTGTACTTCTCCAAGAAATCAAGTTGAAGACAAGACAAGTTGTTTTGCAAAGTAATTTCACTTGCTGTGTGGATAGAAAAGGTTTAGAAAATCTGCTGTCAGTGCTGCTGCTGATCCAGTCAAATGGAGCTTCTGTTGTAGCTGTCTGACTTTATTTTAGGTATCCTTTACCAGAAACTCAGAGAGGGTACTTCTGACAGTGAATGCTATTTGCAGTGGGTAAAAATGTACTGTTTTGTTTTTGGGGGAATAAAATAAAAATTAGATCACAAAAAAAGAACATTTGGTTTCAGTGATCAAAATGTAAAGTAGCACTTTATGTAGAAAATTCAATAAATAATACAGCATTTTTAACCACGTTATAATTGTAATTGTTTAATAACCATAAGCTCCATGTGCTACAGTATTCCTGCAGTAAAAAAAAAAACAAAAGAAGACATTTCTAGAGTAGATTCTTCATTTCTGTTGTAGACATTTTTCTGGTCAATGTTAAAAACAAAACCTTCTCATCTGCCTACTGTACCTGCCCTTTATAGCAAGGACTGCAACTGTTGATTGCTGAGATACATTTAAGCTTAAGGCACAATATTTAGGCACACCTACTGTACAAGCATGGGTAGATCTCTTGGGATGAAAGAAAGACCCAGTGAAACTACTTAAATACTTACTGTATAGCAAAAGCTTAGTAACAAAAAAACTAAATAAATATAACATTCAAGAAAATATAGAACACAATGTTTTTATGGTGTTTCAATGTCTTTGCTTTGATGTCTGTTGTTATTGCTCGTGGTTGCCAAGAAATACAGGTATTTCATTTTAAAATGTACTCTTGGAAACAACTTTTAGAATTTCATTTGTTAGTTCCTATTTAGACAGTTCATAAATCTCATAATGTCAGTTACTCATGGAGTTCTGAAGGGTTCTACAGTATGTTGTTAATATAAGATTTGTGATGTTTCACATTGTGAAGATTGAACAAATATAACTGTAGGACATAACTCTTTAGGATGTAACAGACCTCAAAATTTAGTTTTTAATTAGCAATGTACCAAACCTAAGACATTTTTCAGTCATGTTATTAACTTCAAGTTCTCATAAATGATTTTGACATTTGGTTCATATTGTACATATTTAAGATAAGGCAACATTATTATTTTTCAATGTATATACGTAGGTGCAAAGGAACAAAAGCTCACAAAGCATGTTAAATTTAGAAAGGTGATATTTAATATTATTAAGCAAGGATATGAACCTGTGATTAAAAATGTAGAATAAAAGAACTATTAAAGAATGTCAAAACACGAAGAACTAAAATTCTTCACAGGTACAGATTTGGGTGTTAATAGTAAAATCCATGGCCAAAAAGCCCATGATGCCCCTCCTACCACAGACTACTCTGTCCTAAATTACATTGTAATTAGACATTTATAAGTTATCAGCTATTCAGAACCATACTAATGCTTTTCCCTATAGAGACAGCACTTGCATAGCTTTGAGGACAGAGCATTGTTGTGCAACATTTCTGGCAAAGAGCAATTTTTGAGTTGCCATCTGGGAGAATAGAGTCTTTAGTGCAGTATTGAATTCTGTCTCACATAGCATTCTGCACTATTTTGTTTAACGTTCATTTTGCAAATTCAATTCACTCGAGTCATCTACTGCCATAAACATGCTATGAAAAGTATATCTTTCACTGTTAAGCATATCTTATTACATAATTGCTTGGCTAAAAGGAGAACCATCTCAAACCTGACACATTTATCATTAAAGGACATTGTGTTATATTAGCATGTGGTGGTATGCCTAAAGTAAAAGACTATAAAATAAGAAGATAGCCTGAGTATCTACAATATATAGCAGGTGAAAACACAAATATGTATGTGCTTGCTGTTTAAGGAAAAGGAAAAATCCACACAGTATGAGATAAATCTTTCCCTTTACTTTCATCACAACAACTCCAGAGCATAAAACGACAACCCCTGGATTCAATTCAGCCATGTTCAAGGAGCAAGAAGGCATACGTTTTCAAATCCCCTTCTATAATATTTATAGCCTTTCTTCACTTCATTGGACAAAGGTCAGGCAAACTCACTTATCCAATATTTACTGTACTTGACCACTCGAAATCCTCAATAATCTGTGATTCTCTTTTTAGAGAACCTTACAAGCTCCCTTCTTAGTCATAGTAGCTGGAACATGTCTGGGCTCTCCTTTATGTTTTGAGATACACTGTGACCATGATTTATATATTACAGAAACTGCAGGTTTCATTACATACAGTAGCAGGATGGACAAGAGACTGGCAGATCACAGTACATTATAGCATAGACAGCATACCGGCAAGGCGCTACAGTATGTGTGCCTGCACAAGTTATTATTGGGCCACCTACTATAGTTAAATACTTTGCCTAAAACCTTAATCAAACATTTTCTTTAGGAATGTTTAAACTTTAATCACAAAAAAAGACAATAAGAAGCCCTTGACTACAGAAAAGGCATGGCAGCAAAAGAGCGCATCCTTGAATGTGCAGCATACATTTTTAACATATTTTAATAAATCATTGTGAACACCGTAATGCAACGAGGGGGAGAAAACAGCCCGAATTTTAGATCAAAGAAGAAAAGAGTTGTAAAATGCCTGGAAGGTTATCATCTGCTTATATGGAAAAGGAGCATAAACTATGCTTTTTATTAGCTACAATGCTTTTATAGATAAAAGAGAAACACATAATGCCACCTCTGCAAACCTAACAGTAACCAATCTAGGGATCTAAATGGGTCACATTTCAGTGAAAAAACGAATGCCCAGGGGCTATCTTTGGTGTTCTTTAAACCTACAGTACTCAGCAAGTGAGGATGATGTTTTCTGCATATAAATTGGATCTGCGTAGCTGCTGAACAACATGTGCCTTATACAAGCAAGTCCGTGGACTGATTTTTGGACAAATGCATTGTGATCCTTCAGCATTTGCCCGTGTTTCCACAGATTTTTGGTGACTGCTTTGGTTTCCTCTCACTCCCCAAAGCCATACCACAGTAGGTTTGACTGTCTATTCTACAGTTGTCTCTTTCTTTATATCCCTGAAATGGACTTTGGTCTCATCAAGGACAAGAGCCCCCACTTGTCACGTCCTGTGCCTTGTGCTTATCGGATAGGCCAAAGCCTGCCATGACCCTCTCCAAGACAACTGCCAATGAATCAAAGTGCATTTTGCTTTTGGCAATGGTGAGAGGTTAAAATTCAGCACTAGGACAGTTTGATGGTCTTCCAAGAAGCTTCGAACTCTGAACAGTTAGGAATTCATTTAAGGCTGGTGCTCTCCGCTCCAGTTTGAGCTTGTGGGATTGGCTCTGGCCTGCCATGACCTTGACCACAATACTGTAGGTAACTTTTTCATAATGCATAAATGGAAAAACGCCACTATTCTGCAGTAACATACTGTACTGTAGTTTATACTTAATATCTTCGTATTGCAATATACAAAATCCAACATCTTGGCTGCACCAGGTTTGTAACTCTGCAGATGCTGTCATTTTAGACACTGCATTTTGCACCCAGTGTTTGAAATTTAACACTTGGATAGTTCGGTGCACTTTTTTAAAGAACTAACCATCCATTCAAGGTAAGGGCTTTGTTCACTGTATTTGTGTCTCAGAATATGTATGATATTAAAGTTTGTGCTGGGTTCAATTCAAACAAAGTAACATTACAGAACCATATGTAATGTGAAAAACTGTTTTGAAGCATATAGTAAATACTGTACAACATGAACAAATGGAACCATACAGCCTCCATATCGCAGATATATTAGGATTTCCTTTCATTTCTTGATTAAGTGTGATGTCACAGATTACTGTAAATTACAATAACTGCACTGGTTCTCAAGTAAAACCTTTGTTTCTTAGAAAAACTAAGCATTTTGTCTTATAGCACAAACAAGTCTGAAATCAGTACTACACTCTGTATCAATGAAATGATATTGATTTAAGTGCTGCCTGTTCCTGGAATTAAACTACAGCACAGTCCATTTTATTGCAAATTAGTTTATTACTGAAAAGACACATCTTTCAACCTTCAATTGATTAAGTACTGAATCCTTTTTTACTTACTTACTTTAATGTCACAACCGTAACATTAAATTGCTCCTTTTAAAAATCCGCAAACTATGGGTCTAGAACTATGAATTGAGTGATCAATCTCAAATTGATTCATGTATCATATGTAATAGAGTTATATAAAACATTTTAAAATGTGACACAGAGCTGTTTGCAATTAGTAAAATGTATATATTGTATATTTTTAATGTACTGTATAGCAGCTTAAATCAGACCTAAAACTTGTACTTAAAAGAAAACAATGAAAGAGTAAAAGGACATGCCTATTACTTGTTCCTCATGAATAAACAATGATTTACTCGAAAACTTTTTTTTTTTTGAAAGGCACAAAACAAAATTTAACAGAACAGAACTGAAATTAATTTGTGAGAAAGAGCAAGTGATTTGGACAAAACAGAAATTGAAAAATAAAATTTTTCATAAAACAAGTAAAAAATAGCTGTTTAATTGTTTGCTTTAAGTTAAAAATGTAAAAAGGATTTAAAGGCCCAGTGACACGGTGGTTAGCTTTGTTGCTATGCAGTGGTGGGGCCCTGGACAGAGTCCCTGTAGTGCTATCCACGTGGAGTCTGGGCTTGCTCCCTGTCTTGACATGGCTTTGCTCTAGCCTCCTCCCACAGTCCAAAGACATACTGGCAGGTTAATTGGCTTCTGTAAAAACAGGCCCTGGTGTGAGTGTGTTAGTGTGTGTCCTGCAATGGACTGGTGTGTCTTGCACCTGCTGTTCGCTGGGTTAGACTCCAGCTCCTCCCAGAACCCTCTACGGGATAAAGGAGTTAGAAAATGGATGTGTGGTTTTGGTCTTTTAAGGCTGAAGTTATCCCAGTATTATAAAGGCACCTTTCATTTGTTCCTGCAATGATACTTTCTGAATCTACTCAGTTATTATTATTTTTACCATTCTCTGCCTTGTACAGTTTAATTGAATGCCATTAAGGGAATTATTCTTCAAGCTCCATTGATTTTTTGTTTGATTTTTGTTTTCAAAAGAATAGTCAGCAATATCACTTTTACTGAAATACACTTTTCTTTTCATCATGTTATGCTCTTTGGCTTTTCTTTCATTTATGGAGTTCTGCTGAGGCCACTCTTAAAATGTGAAATAATGCCTTGGAATACAGAGAGCTATTGCTCTCATGAATTAAATCCGTTAAAAATGTGTTTTATTAAACCAAAACCCAGTATTTGTTCCAGAGAAAAGTGTTGTTGATTGCAAACACTTCACAAAATTTTCTAAATGAAATATTTCATTTTGAGTGCAATGACTTTTGTTGTTCTGTAAAGTAAATCCTACTGGAAAGTAGGATTAAGGCTGACTCAAAATGTTTACCCTTTGTTACTGTACAGTGCAGGAGTGGGAGGAGCCACGCCGAACACCAATAAGAGTTGACGCCCGGTTTGAGGTGGCAGAAGCAAACGAAAAAAGACAAATCCACCACCCGCTCTGAACAGCAGCGTCCATCCTGACTGGACTTTCTCTGTCTTACCGGTTCCAGCCTGGAAGAAAAGAAAGCGCAA